GAAGAAAAACTAATTAAACTATTTTTTTTTTTTTTAAACTGAAGACATTGTTGGGACGTCTGCAGCTTTTGTACGCCTGGACATGCAGGATAGGCTTGGGTGGGCTCGACAAGTTTCTGCGATGGAGTTTTCATTCTTGTCGGGGAAAGTCAGTGGGGTTTTGTAATGTGTACAAACTCTTAAGCAAACAAGACCTGAGATCAGCATTTTTTATGTATTTTTTTTTTAAATTTCCAGATTGGTGTTCGGGAGTCAAAGCTGGGAAAACTCGAGTCCTCCTTTTTTTTTTTTTTTTAATACTGATTGTGACGGGGTGTTAAATAATTAAAAGCAACAACTTACGTTTCTTAAGTCTTCTTGATGTATTTGACAGCTTCACTCTTCTCCCACTTTGAGTGTGTAAACGATCGGATGCGGCATCAAAGCCGGGATTAATGGGGAATCTTATGTGGTTTTTCTTCATGCGGTCGGGTGATTGCCTAGGTGAAGCATTAATTTAAATTTTCACAAGTTTAGTTAGCAGACGATGAGAAAAAAAATAATTGATACCCTGCTCTGTGTGTATCAGTTGCCACTTCATAATTACACATTCTTAGTGTACAGATAGGAAGTGAGTGCGGGGTACCACATCCCAAATTGGATACAACAACACAATCAATTAAAGTGATGCTCAACTCAGTAGTTAGATCTTAAAAATGCATTCAAGTACCTTGATGATGGTATTCAACTAAACAAAAGGAATAATTATGCTATGAACCCATCTAGATTTCAGGAACAGAACATTGCTTGTTTCTGATTTTTTTCCTCAAGTGAGATAAAACATTATTTGTACATTTTCTTTCTAACGTGGCAACTGGATCCCATCTGGATATCATTCTTTAAAGGAGAACTATGAGGTGAGTGCTTTTCACTCACTTCATAGTTCTAGCCGACCTGTGACAATGAGACTGTCACAGGTCGGCTCAGTAGATCGCGAAGTGAGCGAACACATACCGGCGTTCGCTCACTTCTCGACCCTGTTACGGCTCTCTGCCGTGACAGGGGAGGGGCTGGATTCCCCCCTCCCCGCTCCGATCCGCCAGCGCTGACTGGCGAAACGGATGGGGGAGGGGGCGGGTACAGCTGGCTCTTTCTCTAGATTGGCAGAGCCAGCTGTCACTCACGCAGCTGGGCGGATCCAGACATAATTGTCGGGATCCGCTTCAGCTGCGGCGTCTCGGTATACCGCGAGCAGTAGCTCGCGGTATACTGAGCTTGGGGTGAGGGGAGAACGTCAGTTTGTGTCCTCCCATTACCCTAAGGAGAACTATGGGGAAAAGCACTAACCCCATAGTTCTCCTTTAAAAGGTACACTTTGGTTGAAGGTACACATTGACTGTGAACGCTATCCAGGAAAAACTGCAACTCTGCTACAATCATGGAAGTCCACCAATTTTCCATTAAAGAGAAACTGAACTCAGGAGTCAAATCCTAAAAATGCATTCAAGTACCTTAACTAATAACAACAATATATCCTATTTGTGTATCACTCGGCTGTAGATCCTCCAATCATCTCTGAATTGGTGCTGACACTGTCCTTCCATCTGGAGGGTGGCTACTTTTGTTCCCCATGGTCCCTGTGTGTGTTGTAAAGTAGTCACCGCTCCAAGCTCGCTCCCGGGATGGACTACAATCTCATGTTTAGTTTTATCATTTGTATTGAGATTTTATTTCATCACAGGAGTGAGCTTGGAGCGGTGGCTACTTTACAACACACACAGGGATCATGGGGAACCCAAGTAGCCCCCCTCCAGAAGGAAGGACGTGTCAGCACCAATTCAGAGATGATTCAAGGATCTACAATTCAGAGAGAGGAAGGGTGGAACCCCTGTGGGGAGCGGTGAATGACCGTCACTGGACCAGAACCGTGTGCTGAGCGATCAGTGGTTTGTGATTGCTCAGATCTCAATCTATAGAAGCAGCATGTGACAGCTGCTGTGTGACACGCCAACTCTAACTATTAGACATCTGCACCTGCCAAAAATTCTTTTAGTTTCGTTTAGTTTCCATTCTGATTTTCCGTTATTTCGTTTTTTGGGATTCAGGTCCGAAAGCCAATTCGTTTCGGGATACGGATTCAGAAGAAATTCGTTAGCGGTAGTCTGTACGAATATTCGTTGCAGCAAAGTGACATTAGACAAAAGATTCTGCAGACTGTAAAAGTCATTTTATTTTTTTGTCTGTCACTTTGTTGCAACGAATATTCATCTAAAAACAAATACAGACTACCGCTAACAAATGTCTTCCGAAATTTTGGTTATCGGAAAGTCGGATTTGTTTTCATTTGTCATTTCTGTCATTCGGAGATTCGGATAAATCCGAATTTCCAAAAATTCGTCCGAATAACGAATCTTTCCGAAACGAATCGCACATGTCTACTAACTATTGGGAAGAGTATGTTTTACCTTCCCAATACTTCTCCTTTAACCAAACAAGAGTACCCGAACCTCTGAGATGTACCCACTGGGGTACTCGTACCAATGCTTGAGAATTTTAAAATGTTTCTTTTTTCCTTTAATCATTTTTGGAGGAAAATATATCTCCTGTCATATCCTGACCTCTGTGATATCTTCTCTTGTCTCTTAGAGTGCCTGGGTAAACAGCTCTGTATTATAACTCATTGTAAAGAAGACGCCATCCAGATTGGATTTCTGCTCCATGAAACTCTCAAATCCCAGATAAAGGTAACAATTTTCCCAGAATTCCCAGAATGTGTAAGATTCACTGATTCTCGAGCCGTGCTCCCAGCACTAGGGCTATCAAACACAATTTTTTGGGGTTATTTTTCATTTTAGGGCTCTTTCACTCTCTCTTGTGTGTTGAGTTAGGTCTTGCAGCTGGGGGGTGGGGGTGAGGTGTTTCCATTGAAGGGTCCTATCGAAGCTGCAGCATACAAATACATTTTGGACAATTCTACATTTTCAACCTTGTGGTAACAGTTGGATGAATATTGTAAAACTTACATAGTTACATAGTATTTGAGGTTTAATAAAGACACAGGTCCATCATGTTCAACCTATTGCGTGTATGTATGTGATTCTGCATGTGTATGTGTGTGTATGAGTCCCTGTGTGATCTTGTTTTTAATGGTACCTGTACCCCTGTATGTTACTGTCTCTGAGGAAATTGTCCAAATGCTTTTTGAATCATTCAACACTCTCAGTTGATACCACTTCTTGCGGCAGCGAGTTCCAGACCCTAACCATTCTAACTGAGAAGAAGCCCCTAAGCCCCTTGTGCTGAAATCTTTTCTCCACCAGTTTTAGGTGATGGCCTCTAGTCTTTGTTATGGAGTTTACAGTAAAAAGCTTATTGCTGATGTTGCTATCACCATTGAACATCTTGTACATCAAAATCATGTCCCCCCTTAATCTCCTCACTTCCAGCGTGAACAAGTTTAAGTTTAGTAACCTTGTCGCTTAGCTTTGGTCCTCCATCCCTTTAATTAGTTTAGTTGCCCTTCTCTGGACTCTTTCCAGCTCAAGGACATCCTGTCTGTGGATTGGTGACCAAAATTAGACCACATACTCCAGATGAGGCCGAACCAGCGATCTATAAAGTGGCAAAATTATTGCTTTGTCTCTAGAGTACAGTTGCACTCCATACCGGAATTCCCAGATGATGGGAAGGGTGCTTGTAATGACTGCGGATGGCAGCGTTGTGTACATAGGAAGGTTATGAAGAATGTCACCAGCACGCCGAAGATCCGTTTGGTATCACTAAATGCTCATTTTATTGAACAGTTTGTCAAAATGGAAACAAGCGCTTTTGGGACCTCGCAGGGTCCCGTCATTGGGCTTTAACATCGACAGCTTGATGAAGGCCCAGAAAAGGCCAAAGAGGAAACAGTCGAGGAGGAAAAGGATTTTTAACCTTGGCTTGTGCCCCTGAGTACAAAGCCAGCTCCATAAAGACACGGTTTGATGAGTTTGGTGTTGAGGAACTTGAGTGTCCTTCAAAGAGCCCGGACCTCAACCCTACTGAACATCTTTGAGATAAACTAGAACGCCCAATGTGAGGCAGGTCTTCTCATCCAACGTCAGTACCTGTCTTCACAAATGCTCTTCTGGCTAAATGGGGACAACGTCCCAGAGCTAACACTCCAAAATCTTGAGGATGGCCTTTCCAGAAGAGTGGAGGCTGCTATAGCCTGAAATGGTGAGAGAATTCCATATTAATGGCCATCAAGCTGAACAGAAATGGCAAGCACTCCAATTCATTTAGAACTAGCTTTTTAACCACCTCACGTCCATTGGCCGGACAGGAGCCTTATAGGAGCAGGTGGGCGTCTTAAAACGTCCTTCCCCGCCCCCACTCATGCGTGGCGTCCATCTTGCACACAAGTGGGGAAACTGTCAAAAATGTAAACAGCCAGTGGTGGCTGTAGAGACGCCCGATCTCTTGTACTAGGTGCGGGTGTGCGCCCCCCCGCCGGTGCCGTCAGTCCCGAGATCCGCTGTGTCCGGTGCAGTCGGACACAGCGTCTGAGTGCATCTCCCTTTTGATCTCCTCTCCGGTCCCCGAATGCAGGAAATTATGTATGCTACATAACTTACGCATTCAGCTGTCATTCCCTGCTACAGATGCCGGTGAGAGACCCCTGATGTCTCCATAAAGAGGACCTGTCATGTGAATTGTCTATCACATAGGGGATTTGTTAGCCCCCTATGTGATAACAATAAAGTGAAGTGTAAACATTTTTTAAAATAACACAAAAAATGTTTTAAAGTCCCCCGGAGGACCTTACCCATATAATTTATTAAGAACTCTAAACATACACCTGTAAGGTTTGGGAGGGGGCTAAGTGCTTCCTGCATAGTGGTACTATAACAGCCCCACATTTTTTTAAAAGTTCCTGTGTACATTGTACAGCTCATGCACCATGTAGTATACTGCCCCGGGTCCTTCCCAACATCTGTAATATGCAAAGAGTGGAGCTGGGTGCCGAAAACAATGTAACTCCTGTGTGCACATGCGTAGGAGTTATGTCACCAGAGGCAGCCCAATCAATTAAGAGAACGATTGGGGACCCGGAAGAAGCCAGCAGAGGAGATGGTGGCGGCAGTTCACAGAGCAGCGACTGATGGCACTGGAGAAGGGCACACTTGTAAGGTAAGTGGGCCATAATGTCCAAGTATGCTTGTGCCTACCTGCACCTCATGGCAAAAATTCACATTACCTTTTTGTTGCAACTTTACTTCCTTTATAAACAAACTAAAGAGGTCAATTATTTGGTACACTCTATGCACACTCAGGAGTTGGGCGAAAATCTTGTTTTGCAGATGAGATTATGAAGTGAAAACAAGGCACTGAATTCAAATTTTCAGGAAGTCAATCCGATTATAATAGGGCACGGTGGCTCTGGCAAGGCGGCTCTCCACACGTTTGGACAGCAGGAAGGGAACCCAACGTTGAGAATCCATCCAACACGTTTCGGGAGCTCAAAGAATCCCCTCCCTTCCTCGGGGCTCAGGTTTTGTTTTGCTGGTGCAGTAAGTCCTGGCATCTTGTACATTCTTATTTCTGCTGTTTATGCCATTTACAAAACCTGAGCCCTGAAGAGGGGGAATTTTTAAGCCCCAGAAATTTGTTTTGTATTATTCTATATGAAGTAATATTAATAGAATTTGGACACTTGGATCTCTTGTTTGGCACTCTCATTAGACTTTGTAAATGTGGAGCTCATAAGGATGGCAGGTCAGACACATTCAGACCCTACAGGTAACAATAGCCATAGCAGCCCATGCGGCTGCTAGGGGGCCTGGGGGCTGAAGGGGGCCCATTAAGGATTTCAGAAGTTGCTGTTGATAATGACCCTATACCTCTTGTGACATTTCCAATCAAGAAGAGCTGACATCATATGTACAGGAGACAATGCAGACAGCACTCCTGCTACCTGACTTTAATATCAATAGGAAGGTCACTGAGGGGCCCCATCAAAATGTTGCTATGGGGCCCCTTGATCTACAGTTACGCCCCTGCCTACAGGGGTAATAAAGCTGCAGTACATACCGTAACAGTTCAAACAGGTGTCTTTGTGGTTGGCACTTCTGCCTTGCAACACTGGGGGCCCCCGTTTTGATACCCAGTTGGATATCCAATCAGGACACTTTCTGCATGGAGTTTACATGCCCTGTGCTTGTGTGGGTTTTTGCCCATACTCCAAAGACATGCTGCAAGGTTTATTGGCTCCTGTCTAAATTGGCCCCCCTTTTGCGTGAGTGTGAGATAGGGAGCTTAGATTGTAAGCTCCTTTAGGGCAGGGACTGATGTGGATGGACAATATATAAAGCGCTGTGTAAATTGCTGGCTCTATATATATTTTCATAATCGATTAGTTACCCGATTATTTTTTCAACTAATCGATTGGTTGTATAAAAAAATCTCTCACTCACTCACACTCTCTCACTCACTCTCTCTCACTCTCCTTCCCCAACCAACTAATCAATGATGATAATTGTTGCCAACTATTCTCATAATCGATTATTATCCATTTAGTCGATTAGTTGTTAGAGCTCTAATGTAAGCCTTAGCAGTAAATATTCAGATAAGATCAGTGGTGACAGGTTCTCTTTAAGGCCCTCTCGTGTATCCCGAGGACCATGTTCCCTGACTTCTGCTCTTTTAAAGCCTTTTGATTTTGCATATTCCTTAACTAGAAAGGTCATTATAGTGCGCTATTAATGCATAATAACGTCTAAAAATACTTCACATCCCCCAGATGCAGACAGACTTAATTCCCTTTCATTTTAATGATTCGCAGCATACGCTTGTAAACAGAGAAGCAATAGCCTGCAGCCGTGAGCTGATTATTAACACAGTTTTATTCATCAGACTCTGCCCAAAATATGTTTTCCTTAGAAGAGTTAGGAGTATACGGAATGTTCAGCAAGAAAGGCCCGGGGCAGTTCTGGTTGGGGAGGTGTGCGTGTGGCCGCAGAGCTGACTCTCATCCTTTAGCGGATATCAACCTTTTTCATGTGACGGGCTGGACATTCTTTTCAAGTAGACTCAGCATCAGATATCTGTGTTTATGTTGGGTACATGCATGTTAAGCCGCGTGTCAGTGTAAAGCTTAGCAAGGCATGTATCCGACCTCTGTCCAAGGAGCCTTCTTTACAGCACGCTGGCAGGGGACAAGCTGTGGGTGTGAGACTCTGCTCACCTTTTATTTTCATGCACCTGGAATGTATTGAGCAAAACTGAACTGAACGTTTCATTGGACGCACAAAGCACTAAGATGCAGAAATGTTCAGGCAGCTTTTACCTCATAAATAATGACCCCCCAACATCAGCAACCTCGACTCTCCCCCTCAAGTACTGATTTCTTCCTCCAATGCTCCATCCGCTTAACGGAACCACACTTCTCCTGTGCAGTGATAATTTGATTGCCGGATCTGATCTGATTACCAGAAACGTGGGTTCTTCTGCTTTTTAACTGGGCGTGCGTCACTAAGTCCTGAGTCCAGTGCGTCACTAAGTCCTGAGTCCAGTGCGTCACTAAGTCCTGAGTCCAGTGCGTCACTAAGTCCTGAGTCCAGTGCGTCACTAAGTCCTGACTCCAGTGCGTCACTAAGTCCTGAGTCCAGTGCGTCACTAAGTCCTGAGTCCAGTGCGTCACTAAGTCCTGAGTCCAGTGCGTCACTAAGTCCTGAGTCCAGGTGTGTGTGTGCTGGGATGCCAG